TGCTCAAACTTGGATGCTTCTCGTATTAGACAGACCGTTGACTGACCGTATCTTGGAGACCTCGGTAAACGCATGCCCGATTGATGCGAAGAGCTATGGTATTTAATGGTCTTCTAGAAACCCACCACATTAAACGATTTATAGCTGCGCCACTACTTTAAGCCTGTAACAACTCTCTATACATCAAACCGGCCAAATAGTCGCGCAATACTGATGAAGAAAACTTATAGGCCATAAACACGCCACTTTGCCCCATTCAGAGTTCCATTGGTTGGCGATTGTTTGATATGTATTTGGAAAGCTTCAAAAGAATTTTTCGAGCTTCAACCCTTTCCACTACTTTTACCACTTCCCTGCTTCTCTTACCCCTTTTTACCCTTACCTCTGACCTCCTACCAAAATCTGGCACATCTAGGCTAAGTTTCGAAAGGGGGTCGTGAACGACTTATAGTGCCGATTCTCCTAGCGAGAAATAGTGAAATGGGAAGTAGGTAGTCGGTTTGTAAGCCGGTGATGTAGCTGACAAATTAAAAACTTTCGAAAATGCCTAGCTCGCCTTACCTAATTGAATTTAAGGCGCTCAGCGATCAAATCATTGTCGTGCCAACCCAAGTGAATAAACGGAAAGACAAGGTGTTCTTCTACAACGATCAAGAGCTCGATATATTCATAGAAGACGGTGAGTAGTTCTTCTCTGTAATTCGTTATAAATAAAAGGATAAAGATAAAGTCTTGGGGCGTTAACCGATCCCGTCTGAGGATGCTACCACGCATTCGACTACCACTCAGAATCGTTGTGGTGTATTGAATGCGTATGTGGCCTATACAATGACCTGCGGTAGCCAGCCGAAGTACAAGTCAGTCCTTTTATCCTCCCAGACGAGTATGGTATCAATTAACCGACCCCGGAGGGATGGAAGGCCTGGTTGGTTTAGGCGGATGTCGATCCGACACTCGAACCTGTGACCGTGCTTGTGTGAAGTGCGCCACTTGCCATTACACCGCCTCCACCCAATGTGTTATAGTGTTGTGATATTGCTAATTATGACAACCATAAGGGGTAGTTGAAGAAGACATGTCCATTGGTTCATAGGCTCAAGGGTCACCTGGACCAGTTAAGTTACTTTGAGTTGGTTGTGGTGTTGTTTTTTCGGCTACCTCGTCGGAGTCATTTCTTATGGTATGGTAAGGGGTACCTTATCCGAGGTACAGCGCAACGAAGAACTGTTGATCGAAATCTTTGAACACAGAGGTCCACATGAGTCAAAGTGGTTGCTTCGGAAGGCTTGTATTCGGCAGGTTAGAAGCTATGCTCACATTATTCTGTCTTCGTGCTAAAAATGCGTTGTCCTCGCATGGCTTATACCCTATTTGCATTTGTCTTTATTCTCACTTCCTAAAGGTCTCACTTCACTTCTGGAAAGTCTTCACTAACTCATTAACTGTAGGAGACCAGTTGTACGCAACGGATACTTTCTGAAAATAGACAGGAAATGCCCTCGATGTCGTGCACGTTGTGCTATCCCATGATTTATCGCTTGAGTTTTCGTTTTTTCGGATCAATCTATGAGCATGGGACAAACGCTCAAACGCTCTCCTGTGACGGCTTTGATGTGGACAATGAATGGACAATTCATCTCTCATTTACTCACAAAAGGAATTCGATGACTAAGCCGTAATGACTATGAGATGATTCACTGCTGTGCGAGAGATATTGTTCAGTAGCAAACAGTAGTATTGAAGCTCGGGATCAGCCTCTTTAGATGTTTTTTGCTCGTTGTCGCTTTGTTGAAGTGATGGAAGTATGGCTGACATGGAAACTCTATTCCGGACTGTTTCCCAGTTTCGAAGACGAATGGAATCACAAAGCGTCTAAAAGGGCGATGTGCGTTTTGCAAATTGTGGATGATTGCTCGCAGAATGGCCATCAAATCAAAAACTGGAATCATTTAGAGTGCTATAATTGCAAGCATGCTAAGCCTTCTGGCCTTAATAGGTAGTCATCATCGGATAATTGCCACATTACTTATAACGATGACGCTTCATTAAAACTGATCCCACAGAAAGCCAGTGAGGGGGGAATACAGTCATCCAAGTATTGGACGCTAATTTCTATTGAGAGAAAACAATAGGTTCACTGCTCAAGAGGCTGTTTGGAAGTCTGGACTGGCTAC